TTTTCTTTTTTTTTTTCCGTAGTAGATGGAGAGGTGTTGTTTGATATGCTTTAATTTGCACTGAGGAAGACTAATGAGTACAGACGGCCGAAGAAGACCGCGCTGAGTTGACCAACTACGATCTGAAGGTCTACAAGGCGTCGAAGCAGATGGCCGATGCTTGATGGGAGAGCTGCGGGCATTGCAGATCCCCTTTTTCAGTATTAAGCCAAGTCTGGTCGTCGACTCGGCGGGGTCGACTCATCCTCCTGGGATCGGCAGGGATGAACTCGCCGTTCTACGACGGAGGATGTTGGAGTTGCTGCAGGACTTTTGTAAGGAGTGATGGGCCTGTCCCGAGCCGTGGGAGAAAGAGGAATAGGTCATGCTCTGGATTTATGATTATGGATATGATTATGTACACCAATTCTCTCTATCCTCGGCCCCCGGCCAAACCGTCTATTCCGTTCGCCTAAGGAGCATGCACAGCGCCTGAATCTTTCAGCTCATACATATATGCAAGTAGCGAATCCCATGAGCACACAGTGCGTCAACCACGCTGTGTTACAAGCCACAACAACAAAAACAAGCCAGATGCCCGAACCCCGAAGCCAACCCAAACGCGCAGAAACGAAGTGGAAGAAAGATGAGACCATAACACCGGATAATGCAATATGAACGCCGTGTGAGGCCCGACAGACGACCAGCAACACACCTAGAACGACAAATGGATGACTGTGGTATCTAAATTCCCCGCGAGGAGATTGAAAACGCGATCATGTTTCCCCAGCAATTCACGTCGATGCCTTCTCGGCCACAGCGACCGCAACCGCAACCGCCGCACCGAGGATCCCACTCTCCGCGGCGGGTTCGAGGCGGACGGAGGGGCTGGGAGTTGCGTCCAAGGTGCCCTTCGAAGCGTTCGTCTCCTGCAACAGCTGGTTGATGTAACCCTGGCAACGATTCCGGAAGCCGGGATACTTGTTGATGACACTGCCGTCGCATGCAATGGTCAAACTCTGGGGATGTTCACTCTCGATCACCGTCACCTCTTGCGTCTCCTTGATTGAAGATGTTGCAGAGGCGGTCACTTCGGGGAACTCGGCCTCGTTGCGCAAACACCACATGCTGTGGATGGCCGTTGCCAGGTATCCCGCGGAGCGGTTCGAAACAATCTCACAGATACGGCGTAAGAACTTGAGGTCATCCACGGAGGGGGCACGGTGGAATGTGTGCTCCTTCTGGAGGAGAGCCGCCGACGACGAAAATGATGCGGACGAATCGGCCTCAATGGCAGCGACGATGCTCGTGTCGAACGAATAGGCATCGCGCATGGAGCGAGGGAGTTCACCGCCAAACAAGTGTGCGGTCTCCACGGCTTCCACGATGATCAGTCGAATAATTTCGCCCAGGTAGCGCCCGGTGATCATGTATTCTAATGGTTGGTAGTCGGGTCGAAGATGGGTGCGGTTGATAACATCGTCCCATCGGCTCATGGGGAGAACCTTGCCACCGAACATGCTCAGCTCGCTATTGATGATGACGTGCTTGGCGTAGTCGAACCAGCTACGGGTCTGGTGCCAAACTTGGTCAATCCTATCGCATGCACCGGGAAATGAATCGCCATATTGGTTCCCGTTCCAAGAATCAGGGACATGCGGGTCTTGGGGTCCACGTAGGCACGAGAAAGAAGAGTAGCAGAACTGTCGTTTACAATGGCACCCATTTGGAGGTTCAAACTACGTTTGTGACACGACTTGACAATCAGATCTCCCAGCTCCTGTCCCACAGTACCATTCGAACACAAAAAGCCCTTGCCCATTTGAATCACCAACCCACTGTTGATGGACGTTTGCTCCACTGGGAATGACCATGACAAGCCCATGGACAATGGCGCCGATTCTCGACCGTACTGTGCGCCGACCTGGGATAGCATCGAATCGATCTTCTCCGCCATCCAGTCAAAGAATAGGGTTCCCTCCAAAAGCTTGACCTGCTCGTCGATGGGGGACGAGTTGACCCGGAGAATGTCCATGTCGCCGTTTCCGCGAAGTTCAATCAAAGCCACACGGAAGGTGGAGCCTCCGACGTCGAGGGCCAGGAAGGTTCCCTTCTCCGTTCCTGATGGCAGCGCATGGTTGTACGATGGCAACATGCTGACCGGACTCGACTGGAGACAAATTCGAAGCTGTTCACGGATCTTTTCGGACATCACGGCCATGTTCTGCATGGACAGTGGGGCTGTGAACACATGGTCGACTTCGTCAGCCAGGTCACCGAGAGTGCGACGGCGCCAAGATGCCCGGTGGAATGATTTCCTCTTGCCAGAGGAATCCCGGAAGAGTGATGGAAACAATAGCATAGCTTCTAAGGCGGCGACGACGTTGGAAAAGAGCTCCTGCATCCTATGCAGGACCTTGGTGAGGGACGCCGACATGGTCCGTTCAAGTAGGTCGTGGAGTGACCGCCTTGTCCAAGTGGTGAAGATGAATGGTGACAAGTGAATTCAGGTACAGTGAAGTGAGACGAGCGGGGCTTAAATATGGAAGTGAAGACCAAGATGAAATGAGCTCATAGGCGTATGCATCTGCCGAAAGAAGGGGCCAGTTTGCGAGAATGAGTGGTTATTATAGCGGAAGTGATGTCGTCTTGTCCGGGTTCCAAGGAGAGTAGCAATTCACTGGTGATATAGTGAAGGAGAGAGAGACCTCAACGATGGTGATGGAACCGAGTTGCAATGTATGAGACGTGAGGTAACACTGGTGGGAAAATCCCACAGCAACAATCCCTCGTCAAGCTGTAGTGGAGACCGTTTGGAAAGTCGGAGAGAGAGAGGGACCCAGTGAGAGGGGGTAATAAATAAATAAATAATACAAATAGAAATAAAATAAAAAAAAGGTGGGAAAAAAAAAGCTATTAGGTTTGGGAAATAATGAGAAAGGGTTGAAAATAGTGGTGCCAGACGAGAGTGCAATGGCTCAAATCTCTCTCCACCGAACTAAGTCAATGGGGCAAAAGTAAGACACACTTCTGCCGTAGTTGCACGAAGCGTTCAGGTGGTGGTGGTGCTTGTTTTTTGTTTCCTCGCCCGTTGTAGTAGTATCGTCAGAAAGTAGTAGTATTAAGTAGAGTGGTAATGGTCAACGGAGGGTGACGGGACCATAACCCAGAGGCACTTCAAGCATGGATCAACGCGTGTCCATTCCTGGAAGGGATCCAGCAGAATGAATGGGTCACTCACCCTCCAAGGAATGATGGATGGAGAAATTCAAAAGAATTTCAAAACACAGTGAAAAGAAAAAAGGGACCAACAACAGCGGTGAATCAAGAGAAAGAAAGTGAGAGAGGCAGTCAACAACCAGACTACAAGAGGGGGATCAGGGAGAGATTGAGTATTGATTGATGGATGCAGAAAAGGAAAAGAGATGCACCGGAGAGACAGGACTGACTCCGTACTGTTTTCCAGGTAATGTACGGTTCGTCGGGGGGGCGTATTGCAGGTTCGGTATCGTCATGACCGTATGGGAGATTCCCACCCCAACCAAGATGACCGCGAGTGGAGATCCAGTTCGACTGCTACCCTGAAGGAACATCTCGATTAAATTCGCGACGCATAGGGAAACTAACAAAGGGCAAACATCCAATGCCATGGCTCAATGACCCATCGGAGAAGAACATTGAGTGGCACCTTTTTTCCACCACACTACTACTAGTACAGAGCAGAATTGGTCGAGGAACATTACCGGGAATCATGACATCAATCGACCACGACAATCCTGTGATCCGCTACCAGGATATAAAAACGTGATCGATCTGTCGCATGAAAGATTGAGATAAATTACTTTCCTGATTCTTATCTCTGGACTGTATCTCGGATAACAATCTGCGGGGAATGAATCCTCCTACGACTCCGTACTAGTAGTATCCTTCCGTTCGTCAGGATGATCCCCCTTTCCCAATGGGATACTTAAGCATAAACGGGTGTGGCCAACTGCCGATTCCCTCATCTCGCAGACGAAACAATCGATGAGCCATCGAATGGGATCTTGGAACCACTCTACCCGGGCCTACCACGTTGTGCCGCGACCAGAGTTACATTCGAGTTTCCAACACCCATGATCTGGTTAGTGTAATAGATTTCCACTGCTCCAATGTGTAAACCGTCCTGGTACGAGACGGTACGCCGTTACGGCAATACCGGTTCTACCCTAATGTGTAGTCCATTCAACCTGCATAGAATCGTCTGCTAGTTTAATTCGTGTCACTTGAAGTACTGGTACTATAATTATGGGAGGACGATTTTGGGGTGCCTTTAGTTTAGACGATCTGTCAGTGACGCGGTGTACTGACATTCCATAGCAATCACCCAAAATTCCCCAGGGTGGCTCGTCCAGGGATTAAGCAACAGAATGGTGACGACAAGATAAAAGAGGAAAAAAAAATCTCCAGGATCAAAAAGGGGGTCAACATGGAATAAGTCAGGATTAGTAGTGAACAAAATAAATAACAAGAAAAAAAAAAAATCCAAATCAAATCGGTCCATTGCCAGTAGGGTTGGTGTGGTATGTGACACCCATTTTGAGTGCAACGGTGGTAGTCGGTCTAATGAGAGTGGCCGAGACTGTTACACTGAACTGGAGACGGAACGGAAACTCCCCAAACACCTTCGCATATCTTCTGCAGCCAGTGTATTCTCATGATTCGTCCAGATTCGTATAAATGTAATATGTATATATCTATATATATACTCGGTGCTAGTCGAGGTAGACTGACTGATTCATGACTAGTTATATCAATCTATGAGTGACGTGATCACCGCTCGCTTGGGATCGTCGACTTTGGCGAGAGTTTGTTGGTTCCACCCTGATACTGCCTGTGTATAAAGTTACGCTGGTTTAGGTACGAGGATGTCTGTGTGTTCTCCATCGGTCTGGCAATAGATCGTAGTAGTATCTCCTACATAGTACTATGTATGCACACCCTGGACGAGGTACCCTCTGGACATACCACCAGGCCCAACGAGTCAGTCATGAGGCATAAATATCATCGATAGTTTGTTCATTGCCTGCATTCCAGAAGCCCTGCCAAGAAGCTGGAGGCTGCAACACGCGTACACCTTTGGATCCCCCCTAGTCCGAATGCCGTTAGCCGGCACGAGACACTAGTATCAATGCTACGGTCAGTTCGGTCCTCCCGCGTACGCCTCGTCGTCGCCCAATACTAGTCGCTCGGTACCTCGCCCAGCGATCCTAATCTATATAGGGGAAGAATTATATCCCCCCCCTCCGTGGGATATTACACCGGTCAGCAAGGGGTTAACCAACAAGTCATGGATAGATGTTTCAAAATTTAAACTGGGAGAATGGCGGTGCTCTGCGTCCTATTAGGTAAACTGGAACCGACCTCCAGCACCTGTCTTTCCGTTTCCGGATCGTTCAATGTGAGATCTCAGACCCAGTCCAGGCAAAACTTCGGTTGAATGCGGCAAAATAATGTTTGGTTCCCACAGCTGTCAATCATTGTCACAACAATGCTCATTGTCCGGTTGGCTCGCATACCACCCAGCCATTGGTTATGTGAGCTCAGGGAACAAAGTAGGGAGGGACTGTCCCGAAGTCGACGACATTGATGCTATACAATGTCCCAAAAGTTTCATTCTCTTTCTTCATTATTGTAACGGTTGGCGGGGCACCCCCACGTGTTTCAAAAAGTTTCCAAGGTGACACTGTTCTTTGTTCGCTCGGAGGTCCAGGCATCAAATTAGACACGACACAACAGCCATGTCGCAAATGGTGGCCATGCCCCTACCGACCTTGTGCTGTTCAACTGTAACATGAACACCCAAGAAATGGGGCTGAGTAAGTCACACACATCCAATGGATGCATGACGCCGAGGTGACCCCATCGGAGAATTTAAACTAACTCTATGCATCGGCTACAGATTCTCCAGGCCAATCGCGTCATCTCGTCGTGGATGATGATTGTGCTTCAGACTAAAGCTGCCTTATCGACATGTCATCGATGGAGTGGGGATTGGCGGTCTGGGCTGGCGCCACTCTGCCTTCAGTGCAACTGTCCGTCGGTTCCTGAGAACCACTGATCGTTGCTCTACTGATATTGCAACATTGTCAGACACAACAGTAGATATCTACCCCCTATAAGTGCCTGGTTCGTCGTCCACACGCCGATTATCCTGTAGATCATTGATCAAATGTTGCCAGGCGGACGAACATTCCGTTTGTCTGTTCCATTTGCCGAAGGGATTGCATGATTCCCATGCAGTTGCTCTGACACGGTGTCAGGTCAACCTGCAATGCCACGACATCATGGATGCCATGGCATGGCTCAATGACACGGTCTGAGACCGTGGTATCGCTCTTGACGATGGGATTTCTGCGTCAAACCAACCGCATGGACCTGGATACCTGCTTGCGTCGATTCTTATGTGCTTCTGCACGGTCGACTTGGCCATTCCTCAGGCACCCGCCTTTCGCCCTTTTCACTGTTAACATAGAATGTATGGGTATCCTTCTCATTATGACATAATCTGCCCTGCAAATGTCATATTATGATTCGACCGTAAAGACTTTCCTTTAAATCCAAACTTTCTTTCAGAGTCGGGATAATACCGAATAACCTCTGAAGCGCTCGCTATATTCGTTGAAGGAGTGTGAGACGAGATAGGTGAGTCCCTTAACGAAGGCTCATCGACTACAACCAAGACCATGGCGGTTCCCACCAAGGAGAGGCATCTCACCCCGGTTCCTATACTTGATTCCTTGTCTACCCTACCCCCTGTGTGCCTTGTAGGCCCGAAGAATCGTAACGGACAAAAGCGAAGTCCACGCAGTTGGCAATCTCCTCCAAAGGCGAGTGCATAATGAAGCTAATCAAAAACTATCGTAAACCCCCGTCATTGCAGGTTATCCTCAACGATGACTATGGCCATCGCGTAGCACATTGCCCGAGCTGGAGAAGATCGAGTGACGCCATACCACATAGAGACTGTCAGGCATTTGATATAAGTGATGTGGTTTTTTATCAGTTATCATGATGACTCTGACCTCGATTTCGTCGATTACCAACGTGTCTATCTACTGTGAAGACTCACTGGAAAGAGGACTATTAGCTTGAGATCGCCACATCGGAGTTACATATATGTGACTTATGGAGATTCATATGACTCCGTTGAGATTAAGAGATTCTAGCAAGATAGAACAGCATCGGTAGTGATCCAATGAAAGTGGCTTGGATAGAGAAACACAAGGAAGAGAGGATGAGCTAATTAATTTACCAATAGAGATAGTTTGCTCAGTAAGCGTATGTTTGGATTGATCCATAGTATATAAACTGGATTCGAGCAGGAAACTAAATAAAATATATTTACCCGCCACTACTGCAAATCACAAACCACTCCATTGTTTCTTCTCAACATTTGCTATAATTTTCTATCCATTTTCTTTCTGCTTCTGACCCATCCAACTCTGTCTTCTGTGTCTTTTCTATTCATACCTGTTCTGACCCCTTAGAGGGACTCGCTCACTGACTTGACTTTGATATGATCACTCGATAAATCATAGCGATTATGGAACCTGCAGTTGCATCAGCAATAGCGTTCATATGGTGGCAATCTTTGAAAGTGACCTATCAGCTCTATCAAAAGTGATAGACATATAAACGAAACCTATTCAACCTGAGGGCCGAACATCCGAAAATGAGCTGTAGTCAATATGGATCCCTCAGCCTTATCTCATAACACAACATCTCAACACCATCGAATGCCCGAGATCAGTAAAACTGAAGAATAGAATACAAGGCTTTTCGCACATCATAAAAAGTCATACAAATCGTCACCCATCCCGGACAAGACCACCCACACTAAACATTCCTCTTCTCCCGAATCGACACGCTCCCTAGTATTCTCGGAACAGATCTTCTCCTCGCTTTCACAACCCAGATTGCAAAGAGAAGAATCCCCAAGATCACTAAGGCTGTGACAAGATCGACTATCGCCTCCCAAGCTCGGGAGTACTCAGCCAACAACCTTGTTTTCCCGGTAGAAGAAGGACTATGCTGGTCTTTCCTGTGGGTCATTGATACCGTGCAATGTAAAGCAGAATACTGGATGAGTTGACATACAGCATGAACTGTGGCTCTGAAACATGCTTCATGGAGGAAGGAGATCCGAGAACATGTTCATGACTCGAATCAGGGTCTGGACCGTACTGCGGTGGTTCGGTGAGCTGGAAACTGGGATTGCGGTCGCGCATCCAGCGCTCGTAATCAGTTTCGGGTCTTGGGAGCGCCGGCATCGTGATTGAGGTTACGTTTAGGACTATGAAATGAAATGGTATGGTCGTTGTAGATGGTGAAGATGGGTAGAGAGTTGTATGTCTATTGACATGGCTATCGGTGTTGGTTGTTTGTGTAGATACTCGGAAGAGTCTTGATTTGAGCAGCGACATGTTTGTTCGTAGGCTGGGCGCGGATCGTTGGATGTCAGCTGGATCCATTAGCATCATGTCAAACAGAACTAAGTTTCTTCAATTTATTGGCCAGTAGACTACTGCTATGTAATGGAAAATATATCCATCTCCTTCTGCGGGGAAATTACATGTTAAAATGGTAGAGAAGGACGGGTTCAATATATCATGGATATAGATAATCATTTCCACTTTTAACTGCTTTGCTTGGAGTTGTACAATGCTTCGTATGTATAAGTGCTTGATTTCTAGTGGGCAATTAATCAAGATAACGAGAAAAGAAGCACCAATCATTCTGCAATCTGCGGCTCTAATTTTTCTATTGCAGTATGATTGGCCTACCGCTCAGCCACATCAGGCGTCGACAGGCTAACCCGTTTGATCCATTCGTTAGACTTTCCAGGTTCTATAGGTTACTATCAACACCGAGCTGACAGACACTCTCGTATACGCAGTAGGCAACAGAATTCCCATGGTTGATCATGTACCCCCGTCTCTATCACTGATGATCAACTTCAAACTCGTTACACAACTGTATACGCAACACGGATTGTCGATATCAAATACCGCTGTGGCAAAATGACCAAAAAGAGCGCCATCAGCAACAGCAATCTTCCTAGCGCTTCCACTCCCTCGATTTCCCGTTCGACTATCAACCGCTGCTGCTTTAACGACCTCACCCCCGCTGACACTATCCATCGAAGTGAGCTCGACACAGTCAATGTGTTTCGCAAAAGTTTCCCAGGAAGTAGCGGGGTAACACCTTTATCGCCCGCCAACACCACCATTCGGCGTAGTAAGATCAGCCATACGGTGATCGCGAACTCGTATGTCCGCCGCTGCAAGCTCACTAACTGCGAGCTTGTCAATGTGTGCTCCGCTAAGTCCCTGGATGCCAATGGCTCCAGGTTCGACACTGTGCGCTCGATCCGCGGTCACACCTCGGTGCAAAATAGTACCGTTACGGGCCAGAGTACCCTGAACCGGAGCAAAGTCCACGGGTCATCCGTCATGGACGAGAGCTGTATACGCCGCAGTCATCTTGAGGATGTTCGGGTTGCTCGAAGTCGCGTGAAGAGATCCAAGCTCCAAAACTGCGATGTGAGCGATTGCGTGATTATCCGGACCGATTTCACTGGCATGACCTTACGCCACGGGGTCTGGAAGAATGGAAAATTAGTTGGCAGAGTTGGAGATAATGAGGTCGTCATGGTGACCCAGGACGGCCAGGTGAGTTGCGCTATCACTATGTAGAGAATCGTTGGTCTTCTCGGAGACGTATACTAACCCGAGATAGAACATCGGCCATGTTTCTTCGGAGAAGCTTGTCACCCAAGATGCCAAGGCATGGGACCCCGACTCGGATGGTTCGGATAAGGAAAGCTTGAATTCGGATGATCTTCCGCCGCCTTATCAGCCTTGATGGCTGTCAGTATTTCAGCGATGTTTTATGTCTAACGAAGTGTCTTTGTCATCTCCTTTTTTTTTTTTCTTTTTTTTGATAAATAGCCTGGTTATAACTGCACCAGATTCATAGTGAGGCTCTAATCATGATACGAGCGGTCGACCGTTACAGGCACCACTTAAGTGCACTTACGTATAGGCCGATCTTACCGTCACTAGTCGCAGGCGTTTCTCAGAGTTTCCGAGACTAGTGCGCTAGGGCCCGATTTTATTAAATTAGCTGCTCTCATATTCACATGAGCCGCTGTTGTTAATCTAGAGGATTGACTGGACAGGAAATTGCATCATTTGGCAGTGCAGTTGTGACAGTTCTAAAGGATATGGTGTAGGGTAATAAGATAGGTCATACCGGCAAAGCCCGTGGACTTGGATATATCACTCCCTGGCCCTCTTTCTGGAAGTATTCTAACTGGTGGTTATAGAGACAGGAGGCCTTAATGCTGAGTGAGATGAAGATCGGCCTTCCTCGGCTTCCTCGCGCAAGCCAATAAGATATGTGAGAAAACCAACACCGCTGACCGATGATCAACATCGGGGTTGTATCCCGCACATCATCTCAGCCCTGAACTAGAATATGTAGCTTGTCATCATCAACTATGCTGGAATTATGATCGTCGTGGTTTCTTATAACAATCCCACACGCCAGTGCTGCCCTTATGGTCCATACTGAATCACGGCTATCCGATACAACAAGGATGGGGCGGCGAACACCTGTTCACCGGGCAGTCCAGATCTGCATTTTAGGTGTAACTCTACTGTCGCTTGCCTCTGCATCTCTATTCCTCCCAGAAGAATCTCCCACGGAGATCACTTCAAACGATGGATACAGTTTCCTTGATGAGACACCGCGGCTGACTCCTCGCGATGGAAAGCCGTTTACCCTCCGCATTATGCCCCTGGGTGCGTCCATTACCTACGGATACCAGTCAACCGATGGCAATGGCTATCGACGGTGGATTCGTCAGCAACTTCGTCACTCTGGATGGTGGGTGAATATGGTCGGCAGTCACCCCAATGACACCAGCACGATGAATGACAATGTAAGACATGACTGGTAGTTTGGGACCCAGCTAGTCGATCAAGGATATTAATACTTATTATTTGACAGGAGGTGGAGGCCACGTCAGGCTTTAGAGTCGACCAGGTCACCGAAGCGGCCGAGAAAACCATCCCGCAACAGCCAAACCTCATTCTGATAAAGTATGGATGTCTCTGTTGAGGGTATTGTGATGTCGACTGACATTACATGCACAGTGCTGGCACGAATGACGCAAATCAGTACAAAGACCCAGCAGTCGATGTCTACAAGACAGGCGAACGGATGGATGCTCTTCTGACACGTCTGTACGACGCAATTCCAGGCACTACCATCATACTATCTACTCTGCTCCCCAGGGTTACCACGGATAATGAGATCGTGAAATTCTCCAGATACATTAGTGATCAGTATCGACAGATTGTTGCCGCGCGCCGTCAACAAGGCCAACGCATTGTCCTTGCTGAGATGAGTGACTTCATCAAACCTGAGGACTTGATCGATGGGACACACCCAACGGACTTTGGTTATAAGAAAATGGCCTCGGTGTGGTGGGAAGCTATTCAAGAAGCCGAGCGGGAAGGGCTGCTCCAGCCACCAAACCACACAGGTGTAAGTGACACTAAGAGAACGACCTGCAAAAAGGAATACGGAAGTGGTAATAAGAGAGGTCGGGTTCAAACCCAGCGAGGGAGCGGGGCCGATGACGGAAATTATGTCCATAGCTCCAAGGATATGGGGCGCATCTTCAGTCCGGCTACTACGAAGGAAGAGAAGGACTTCGATCCTGGTATCAACTACGCTCAATTGGTGAATAAGTTTGGTGCCCACCGAGAAGGTGCCTTGGATGAGTTGGTTTGGACAAAGGATGGGGATGGTACGTATATGTTCATTAATAACAATGATGGGAAGTTTGGAAGTGCTGTCAAGATTGACGTCAAGGATGGATGTCTCGCTAGAGGTATGCATATCTATGACTACTTATTGATAGTCTGGCCTGTGTGCTTATATCGTTTGCAGGCGTCCGATGGGGTGATGTGAATGGGGATGGCCTGGACGATTTCATCTGCATCAGCAGGGAGGGACACATGTATGTCTCAATTAATGAAAATCAAAACAACGACATTCCCACTTTCCGAAGCATTGGACTGGTCAAGGACAAACCTGGTAATGGCCTGGGTCAGATCAACGTTCGGCTCGGCGACATCGACGGGGACGGAAGGATAGACTAGTAAGCTCTCACGTTGCTTATTATTCAGTCAGGCTAACTTGCATGCAGCTGCCTGATTCATAACAACGGTGATATTCGGTGCTGGCGCAATGGTGGCCAGAAGGATGCACCCACCAAAGAGTACGGTGGATATTGGCAAGATCTCGGTATCGTGTTCAAAGGTAAAGGAATGGGAGATATCACCGGCGTGCGCCTCGTTGATATCAACGGAGACTTCCGCAGTGATTGGCTATGGCTGGACGACAAGGGTAAAGTAACAACCTATATCAACAATCGGGGCACTGGAAAGAATCTCATTCCGGACTGGCGCGAGGCCGGGGTCACTCACGCTGGGATGGGCGTCAATGGCGCCAAAAATCGAATCAAGTTTGGAAGAGTGTATGCTGGAGGTGGAGCTGACTACACCTGGATCGAGTCTGTGAAACAAACGAATGGCGACTGGAAGCATTACGCCCATGTCTATAAGAACACTGGACACGGCGGTACCAAGCTGAAGGGTATAGTAGTGAGAAAGTTGGCCTTTCGCGATTGCACTGGCTAATCAAGTTCTGTGGCAGGTGATGGTGTCTATTACTGTGATATGCGTGGCACCGGTGCTGATGACTATGTGGGTAAATCTCGGTGAAGGTATCCTTCGTGTGCTCATCAGCTTTGTATAGGTTTGGATATCATCTGAAGGACGAGGATATCTTTACGGAAACGTTCACGATCCACCTGTTTGGAAGCCAGAAGGAACTGAGATATTCAACGTCAAAAAAGACCGGAAAAGTCTCCACTTGGCAGACTTCGATGGCGACGGAAAAGTAAGTGGTTTTCTTTACCTGGTATATCCAGTGGTGATAATTTGTTCAACACATTACGACGAGCCCGTCTGACCCAGATGCTTACGCAGTGCGATCTGTGGGCTGTGAATCGAGATACAGGAGAAGCTGAGATTTGGTTAAATAAGTGGAGCGACAATGCTCAGGGTAACTATTTCCAGTACAAGGGAGTCCTTACTGGTAATGCGAGGTGCACTCAGGGATGGGGTGTAGGCCTTGATGACTTGGGTCTTCGATTTGCAGATCTAAAGTAAGTTCAGTACTAAGGGATTTGAGTAGGATGCTAACAATAGTAGTGGAGACGGTCGGGCAGACTACCTCTGTATGGAGTGAGTACTCTTCCATTATCAAGCCTCATACGTGACGCCGGTACGCTAAGGGCCTTGTCTATAGTCCGGATGGCCGTACGGATGGCTGGTTGAACAAGGGAGAGAATAGTTTCGAATCAATCGGTCAAGCCAAGCGAAGTGAAGGCTATGACCGTGCAAGTGAGTCTTCTTCAGCGCATATAATCATGACTTCAACAGTTCTGACCCGATACAGATCATCGTTGGGCGGACGTGAACGGTAAGTGGTCCTCATCAAGTGACGGGATAGGACTCATTTGCAATAGGGGATCGGATGGCTGATTTCCTCTGGATCGACAAATTCAACGGTGATACCAAGGTAACCAGTACAGATTGGCATATTGAATATACCATAGCTGATTTACTCGTAGGTGTGGATCAACCAAGGCCCTGTTCCTACCTTGGACTCGAAGTGGAGATGGGAGCCCCCAGATGGTCCGCAGTATATGGGAGCCGACCGAGGAGTGAGTAATGTAATCAACATATGATCATCTATCAAGCGCTAATCTTGGAAGGCTAACATGCATTTCCCTAATCTTGGTGGGCTTGGGCGAGCGGATTATCACCAAGTTATTCCCCGGACCAACGTTGTACGTTTCGACCCCATTATAAGAAACGTGCATATGCATACTGACGGTTTTTAGGCTTATACCTGGTTCAACGAATGTCCCAACGAGGCTTTGGATGATGCTGATAGCACCGAAGATCCTGGATTGCCTCAATACCCTGCACCACCTCAGCCCGCTTCTATAAATAATATCGGAGCTAATGGCGCCATGTAACATCGCCACGCCTATCTGGGCAGACGGACAGCAGAATGATATCCATGTGTATGTTTATTAATCCCTCTAGTTTGATTACAGAATTGAGCTTGCTTAGTGGGGCATGTCCACTGGCCATGCATATTGTGTTATCGCTATTTCTTTGTAGTGGTCATAAGTACATGCGATCTCTTAGCAAAATGGGAAAAGCATTTCCCGCAGAACGGAACCACTTAGACCAAAGGCTGCAGGCTGTGTTTCCAAATATATTTCCTGAATGAAACACCCGTCCAAGGGCCTAAAGTACGATGCAGCAATTCATGATTGCTCTCCATCGGACAGAGTAACAAAAATACCATTCAGAAGGGCGCCTGCGGTATTGATCTCTCCGTCTCTGTCAGAACGCTTGGCATGCAGTGTTTCTCTCTGAATGCTGCCCTTGCGGAAGTCCCCCGAGTCAACGCCGGGTATGTCCATAACATTCCGAACATAACACCGCATATCTCGGTGAATGGACCAGGCAGGTATGCATCTCTGTCAAGGATTGGCATTTCCGATTGGCTCTTGATTGAAGTTTTCGGATCTCCTCAATTGACAATGTCACAATATTCCTCCGGAGTGGATCGCCTTGACGGTGGAGAACTTCTGTCAGCTCAAGTCCTCCCATGTATTAACCTCAATGGGTAAGGCCGATAAACAGGCCATGCTGCTTCCTCGGCCTTCGGCTTCAAATGCGAGAGATATAGGAATGCCCCCTGGGTCA